ACTATACATTTTCTAAAATGTATAGGAATTCAAATTATTAAGATTAATATATTTTGAATAATTTTCACTATATTTTTATTCATATTTCCATTTTTATATAGTTTTTCTCTATTTGTATAGCTGATTTTCGCTTGGATAACATTTTGGGCGTAAAATTTACAAAATATTCTCTACATAGTTTATATAGATAGAAACTGATATATTTGTATAGTTTATTATATGTATGTGCTAAGAGAAAAGAAGACACTGAGAGAGTGAGAAACCTTGAATTTGTTTGCAGAACTTTTTACAATAACAAAATTTGATGCCTCATTCGAGTACAGCATTAAATAGATTATAAGGTGCCGATTCTTACGCGCTCAATATCATATTTGTTCTCTCTTTCTCTATTTGTTCTCTATTTCTCTATAGCTAGAAACATGCGTCCGTGTTTTTGCTGGCAATACAATTTTTATCTTTTTCATTTATTTATTTATTTATTTATTTTTTTTTTGGACTAAAAGTCAAAATTTTTGTTTTGCTTTCGTGAGCACAAATAGGTATATAATTAAATATTCGCATATATATGTATATATGTAATACATATTATGTATAGGTATATAGAGCTTTAGAGCATTGGAAACTTAAATATTTATAAGTATTTTTAATAAAAGTGTAGACATGTACGTCACTAATAATGTTAATGAATTCATATAGAATTTGTATTTTATTTTAGTTTTTTAGCTTTGAGGCAATGAAATAAAAGACAAAATTACATAGACTTCAAGAATTTGTTTATCAAATATTATATTTGATTTGTAAGTGAGATAGGGGAGGAGTTTGAAGTTACATAAAAATAATAATAAAAATTTACTAAGTTTTTAAGGGAGAAGTAGAAGTTTCAAATAAGAATTTATTAAAATTTAATATGGAGCCTGACATTTGTGCACTGCCAGAGTTTTATTATTATCCTTATATATAAACATTTTTTTTTTATCAAATATGAATCATATTCTTAAGCAATTAAAAATATTGTTGTATGAGTAATCAGTAAATGTTAATAAATGAAATCTTTTATGAAGAAATTGCTGCCTTGAATGTGTTTCATCACTTATATACAAATAAAAAAATAAAAAAATAATAAAATTTTATTTTAAAATTAAATTTTCATTTGCTTATAATTTACATAAGTAAGCAATATATGTACACTTGAGTAAAATAATTTTATTTCATTTACGCTGCTAGAAACTAATGAAAACCGCAAATCAGCAATGTGTGCGTATGCATGCCGACATGTATGTACGTGTACGTCTACATCTATAATATATTATTCATCTTAATTAATTTGCTTGTCACATACAATATATACATATGCATATACCATATAAATGTTATCTAGTTTCGAGCTTTATCTGCTCGTAAGAGTTCTACATATGGCAATGACATCTAAAGCTTGTTTTGCATTTCATGCGCTCGAATAACTACAAACAGGGGGAGAGAGATAGAGAGAGAGTGATAGTGAGAGAGAGAGAGAGGAGAGAGAGAGAGAGAGAGACTAAGAAGTAGCAGCTGATAAGCGAGTTTTATATTTTATTTGCACTCATTTTCGAATGACCGAATTGCATGTACATACACTGACACATAGTTACAAACATGTACATGTATATGCGAGTGTGCATACAGCATATGTAATTATATGTAAGTATTTTACTCATTTGATTCTTTCGCCTTTTCTTCATTGTGACTTGGCATTCGATTAACGTGGGGCCAATCTACGTAATCCCATAATAAACTCTGAGAGAGCGAGCTGACAAGAGAGTGGGTTAAGGCTAGGCTCTCTGATAAGCTCGCTATGCATCTGATGCTGTTAAATGGAGATGAAGAGAGTCGAAAGGAGAAGGCAAGGAGAGCGATTGTACTCTGTCCTTCGGCAGAACTTCACGCAAAGCTCAGCTTTTAGAATTAGTCGAGCGTGTGTGCCGAGAGAGGGCGCTGCACTTCAGTTGAACTCCGAGTATATAATACGTATTTCTTTTGCAATCTTTTTTGGTTAACAAATTTCGTATAATTTATTGATTCACTTACCCCAACTTTTGCTGGTGCGACCAAAAATAGCGCCATTGCTTGGATCGTAGATCATCTCCGAGATGGTTTGCTTCTTAGCCGGTTGCGGGAATTGATTTTCGTATATTTCATTTTTACCGTTGTTTTTCGACATTGCTTGGCGCTTTTTTCCTTATTTTACTTTTCGTGTGTTTTTGTTTTACGAATTCGAATAATTATTACAAATCGTGAGTGTACGCTGTGAATTTTATTTATAAATGTATATATATAAATATAAATATGTACTTATTCACGTATTTTGATTGCGCTTGCTATTTGTTGCTCACGTGGATGGTGGACGGGGTACGTAAGAATTTGAATACAAATATTTTTGCCGTAATGCTTAAACAACACACTTTAGGTACCTATATACGTATGCTTTCTGATTATTCGCTTCAGGAATCAGCACGTAATGTTAATTTTATAATTTTGCTAATTTTTTTGTTTTAGGTAATTTGTTATTCCAATATTTGCTGTAATGATAATTCAATGTAATGTTAACGCGCGCACACAGACACACACATACACACAAATAAAATACAGCTAACTGTTTGCCACTCGATTCGTTGCGTGCTGCGTGTTGCGCTCTCGGCGAAAGATCACCAACTGAACCACTAAATGTGGTAGCCAAACCGACATCGACATCGACAGCGACAACAGCGTCGACAGCTCGGTCTTCAGTTACTGCGCTGCTCAACACGCACACTTGCAGCGCTCGCCTCTCAGTCAACACACACACAAGTGCAGCGAAAGCTACATGTATGCGATACGAGTATTCGAGTATTCAAGCATTCGCGTACAGACAGCTGTTGAACGCTTTTGACAGCAACAAGAAATAACAAAACAAAAACAACAAAGCCGCCAAAACAGAAAGCTTCTATATATTGGGGAGGAGTGGGTGGCCGCTTTACAGGCGTCATCCGAAATTTGTGTTATGATGGCTGCTTTTGCTAGTACACCGAACGCCTCACGCAATCTCTCTCTCTCCCTCTCTCTCTTGTCTCATGCGTTGCGACTATGCCAACTGACTGTCTGCAGACAGTGGCCAGACAGCTGGGTAGCAGGGTGAATTACAGGAGCGCTGCAGCGGGTAAGTGAACACATTATACTAGTGATTTAAATAAGTATATAATATTAAAATATA